GGGACAAGAAATCCACTAGCTCTTGCTGCTCTTCTCTGGTCAGTCTTATACCTACTCTGGTAGTTCGTTCTGGCCTGGACTGATCGATCTGCACATCCAGAAGGGGCTCCCCGGTCAAGTCGACTGACTCCTCCACCCTGTTCTGCTCGGGCGGAGGTTCCTGTAATTGCTATCTGGGGCTTGCCGAACGGACGGGCGCCTTCCCTTTCCCAGCATGCTTTAGTGTGACGGAATAACACTCTTTGGCTGCGACCTGATCCCCCCGAATGTCTATCACTTTATCTCCATCGGGTCCGAGGCACCTCATGACCTAATGCAGAGTTGAGGGTACACCTTGGACTCTATGAATCCATCCTCTTCCCATCAGGAGATTATACGAGGGGTGAATTTCTACAACCACAAAAGTTTCCATAAGAGCTCGTTCTGCAGCTTGAACTTCCACTTCCACCATCCCGACGGGCTCCACCCTCTTCCCATCGAACCCTAACAAGGGATTTCCAGTGGGCTTGAGCCTCTCTGGTTTAATCTCGAGCTTATCAAATGTGTCCCTCGGCATGACATTCGCACTGCTCCCAGGATCGATCAGAACTCTGCGCACCAAGCAGTCCGCCACTGTTAAACTGACTACCAACGGGTCTTCATGGGGCAGTTGAACACGCTGCAGGTCTGTCCAGTCGAACTTTATCTGCATCGACGGGCTCTGCTGGTGTAGAGTATTCACACTGCTGACCCTTTTCTTCATCTGCGCCTGCCGCAGGCGCGCCCGGAGTAGCTCATCTGACTCTTCACTAGGCTCGGGTCGACCATGGATAGCATTGATTATACGAACTGGTTGTGAATTGTGGGAGCTTTGTTTATGACTCCTTTTTATTTGTTCCACCGGTCGATTCTGCTCTATCGCCGAGCCTTGAACATAACTCGCGAACTCCCCTCTAGCTATCAACATCTCCACCTGCCTCCTCAGGTTCCTGCATTCGTTAGTCTGATGACCGAAATCGGAATGGAAAGCACAATGTTTAGTTTGATCCCTCTGTTCGAGGGGTTGCCTAATTGGCAGTGGTGGATGAAACTTATCTTTGTTCTCCTGATACAGCCTCGCCAGAGTGACCTTCAGCGGAGTAATCAGCTCATCCTCCCTGGACCTTTTTTCTGCCTTCCAAGAGGTCTGACGTTGCGGCTGAGCCTGCTTCTGCCTGATCTTTGCCTTGGACTTTTCCTCGGTCGACACGAGCGACGCTGTCCGAGCATTAGCTGCCTCCTCTTCTTCTAGGCGCACAAAGCCATCGGCTCTTTCATTGAGTTCATCCATAGTAGTCAGCGTGTTCACTACCAGACTGGTGTGAAACGGAGTTCCACGTGTCATGGCTAACTTGAAGGCTTGAACTGCTGTAGAAGGGTGGCATTCGATCACCATACTCTTAGTGAGATTAAACCTGGTAAGAAAAGCCTGGAGACGTTCATCTTTGTGCTGCCTCATTGTGAATAGGCTCGAGATGTCCTTCGGCGGGCGCTTGTTCCCATAGTACTGGCTTATGAACTGATCGCACAGGTTTCTGAAGCTACCAATAGAGCTCCTAGGCAAGTTTTTGAACCAGCTGAGCGCCGGTCCGGCCAGGCTTGTAGGGAAACATTTGCACATTAAAGAGTCATTTTCCGTATTCAGGGCCATTTTCAACTGGATATGGTACACATGATCGATCGGATCGGTTGTTCCGTCAAACAGAATAAAGACTGGCATAGCAAACTTCCTTGGATGCGGGGCATTCAAGATCTCATCGGTGAATGGTGAATCAACCGTCCGAGCTGCGGATCGGAGAGCTTCATTCTCTCTCTGGAGTCCAGCGGTAGCTCTGTGAGTTACGGTTCTGCTCTCCGAACCGCGATGAGTGATAGTAGCCATGGAGGGCCGGTAAGACGGATCGAACGACCGTTCCTCTATGAACTCTCTTTGCCAAGGCGACGCTACTCGACGGCGATCAACCTCTATCACTTCCTCTCGGTCGAACCTTTCTCGATTCGGATCGAAGGTTATGGCTTCATTCCGTCTAATCTGCTCATGTCGCGGATCAACGTGAGTCGATCCTTCGTGGTCCTCAACTCGACGAACATTTGGTGGCAAATTGTCCATCATCCTTTCATCACGGTGGTGAGCTGACTGATTGTTCTCGTCCTGTTCGCCTTGACGCGCGATATTAGATTGAACACCTCCTTCACCGACCGGAAGTGGATGCGAAACCGCAGGTATTTGCCGATGTTGCATTCCAGCTTTCAATTCTGCATTCTCCTTTTTGAGAGCCTCAATCAAGTTCATCAACTCCTCAAGCTTTGTTTGCTGGACAGCCTCCATCGGATTGGAGCTTTCACCTATCATTATTCCTGAACGGAGTAAAGGCATTAATCTCAAGTTCGCGAGTAGATCCGAGCTTCGTGAGTGGGAATTTTTCAGATCTGGTTTCGAATTCTCCGAATTATGCTCACCGTTTACGAGATCTGAATTGTCTGAACTCTAAATCCGTCAGATCCCGCCACAATCGAACAACTCGTTGTTGCGTATATCTGAAGCCACTTCTGCCAAAGCTTCAAGAATTGTAATTCCTCCAGAGTAGGTCACAATCGCTCAGATCTGGATCCAAATCCCAAAGATCGAGTCTCGATCAACCGAATTGGTCTGAATCCACTCGATATTCCTCATTGATCAACCAAACTTCCATGCGATTCCCACAGACGGCGCCAATTGAAGATGCAAGAAATTCATTCCCTCTTTCTCTCTCTAGAATTCTTACACTTCAACCAAAAGATCCTCCACTTCTTTTCATTCCTTCCCTTATTTATAGATATTTACAAGATATTTACAAGATATTTACAAATATTGACTGATTGCTGGATCTGGGCCTGTTCCTCCATAAGTCCTGGTCACCTTTGATGGGCTTATTCGCGTTCGGCCCATATGGCAGTGTCTTTTTATGGGCCGACCCAGCTGTACGGACCGGATGTCGTGCTTGCAAGTCAGATCCGGCCTATGTCGTCCTGGGCCTCCTCAAATTTGTTCCAAACATAGAAATGGAATTTCATGTTAATTCCAACTTCTTTTCTAATTCCAATTCTTTTTTCAAATTCTAAAAGAATTGATTTCAAACAAAGCCGGACAATATGGTCTTTCTACCTAAGAGCAACTCCAATGCTCTCTCATTTGGATCTCTCAAACTCAAAATATGAGAGTTGGATAAAAAAAGGCATCTCCAATGGTTTCTTATTTAGGCTCTCAAATTTTGAGATTCTCAAATTTTCTCACGTATAGCAGCTGCCAATTTTTTTTTGACCAGTCTCTTATTTTCAAAAGGCCGTAATGATTTGCCTTAAAAAAATATATATTTTTAATAATAATATAATCAAATATATATAATATACATATACATATATATATAATATATATAACTTTTTGAAAAAGAACAAAAATGATATAAAAAAATTAATTCAAAATAATGGTAAAAAATTGTTTATTTATTTATTTTTGTTCTTTTTTTGACTAAATATTTTAGATTTTTGCTTCTTTTTAATTAAGTTTAATTTTAGTTTCCTTCTAATGTCTACAATTTGACTTGGAATGTACCTAATATTAATATTACTAATGCAAATATAAATGGTGGGAATGGTAGTTGAAAAAAAATGGTGATGCAAATATAAATGGTGGAAATGGTAGTTTAAAAAGAATGATGATGCAAATATAAATGGTCAGAATGGTAGTTGAAAAAGAATGGTAGTTGTGTCAAAAAATAGCATTTTGCATGAAATGCACCATTGGAGCAGAATTGCTAAAATGTAGCATTTTGACACGGTAATATCTGTTACAATATAGATTTGATAGGCGAAAATAGTTTTTAACATTGGAGATGCTCTAATAGAGTATGATTAAAAATATTTTATATGGGCCAAGGGACATGCTGGGGTCATAAAGTGATTAAATGATGAGTAAAATAGGAAAACGAGCATACTGCATTCGGTTGATGTGTGCTTACACGCCAAGTCCTTAACAAATTTGATTAGTTGTGAATTAACATAATTAGGGGTAAATTTGACTTTTAAAACTTTAAAAGTGTCATTGTAAAAAATTGTGTCGGCAAAAACTCAGGGTCTGAATGCAATTTACCAAAAAGAAGAAGAAGGGAAAAAAAAAAAATCAAGGTTACACAACCCACATAGGCATATGGAATTTTGGGACACTCGCAAATGACAAGTGGTGCGTCGGCTTAGTTTTTCGGTTATTGATGTCGGTCCTTGGATCATTTTCCAATTTATTCGGCTTTTGCGTGTCTCAAATATAAAGTGATTAAATGGTGATGCAAATATAAATGGTGGAAATGGTAGTTTAAAAAGAATGATGATGCAAATATAAATGGTCAGAATGGTAGTTGAAAAAGAATGGTAGTTGTGTCAAAAAATAGCATTTTGCAAGAAATGCACCATCGGAGCAGAATTGCTAAAATGTAGCATTTTGACACGGTAATATCTGTTACAATATAGATTTGATAGGCGAAAATAGTTTTTAACATTGGAGATGCTCTAATAGAGTATGATTAAAAATATTTTATATGGGCCAAGGGACATGCTGGGGTCATAAAGTGATTAAATGATGAGTAAAATAGGAAAACGAGCATACTGCATTCGGTTGACGTTTGCTTACACGCCAAGTCCTTAACAAATTTGATTAGTTGTGAATTAACATAGGGTAAATTTGACTTTTAAAACTTTAAAAGTGTCATTGTAAAAAATTGTGTCGACAAAAACTCAGGGTCTGAATGCAATTTACCAAAAAGAAGAAGAAGGGAAAAAAAAAAAATCAAGGTTACACAACCCACAGAGGCATATGGAATTTTGGGACACTCGCAAATGACAAGTGGTGCGTCGGCTTAGTTTTTCGGTTATTGATGTCGGTCCTTGGATCATTTTCCAATTTATTCGGCTTTTGCGTGTCTCAAAGTCCGCGCCCCCCCCCCCCCATCTCTGCCCTCTCTCCTTTTCTTTTTGAAATACTAACATTTGATCTTATAAGAGAGATACTGTATGCGTATGTGTCCTGCAAATTGTTGTATATTTTTTTTCCATTTGTTTGATGTTTTAACTTCTAAAAGGTTGCATCTCTTTACATTTACGTAGCCGATTACTATTATTATTATGTCGACGAACAATCAAATTACCCCTCTATGGAGAACGATGCTGCTTGATGAAGTTGTAGCATTTGTAAGGTACAAGTCAGAAATCATATTTGCATTTGTTTCTTTCTTTAGTTGTTCTTCTTATCCACACAGAAATGTTCAATCTTTATAGTATTTATTTATTTTTGGTTAATTTGGTTTGCAGCCACGATTTTGAGTGGAGCCCTAAAGATTCTATTTTCAAATTGATTATCATGCTTTGCCTGCCGGAAATGGTATGCTTCTGTAGCAAATATTACCGTTAGAAAATCTAAGTATATATGTATGTTGTGGGGATTAATTAGACGAACTAAGGCCATTCCAGAGGTCCCTTATTGTGATTTATTCAAATTATTGTGACAGCAAGAGCGGTGGGAGACTCTTAGGGCAAGTTTACTTTGTACAAAAGTAGAGTGCATTCAAGAACTAACTGTCCATTCCGCAGAAGAGGGAAAGCTCATTGAGTTGGTTGCTTTGCTTTCGGTAGATTCGACTGATTTTCACACTGAATCAAAAAATTACTATGGTCAAAATGACAAGTTTACTGCAATTGAGATATCACGACAACGCGTTGCAACTAAGATGGTGTCACTAATTGTTGAGGAGCGGAAACTAACCGGCAGTAGAAGTAATAAATTGGTTCAGAAGAGGAGGTTGATGATGTCTGTGATGTTATTGCTTGAAATCTTTGAGAGGATTGGAGAGGAGATAGAATATTTGGTGTCCGGATCACATCTCATTGTATGTTACAACACTTCAACTCAGTTTCTTTGTGAAATTGACAGACATTAGTGTTGGTGTTCCCTAACTTATAACTTTTATGTTGGTTCACCTCCTGCAATACCTCCGGTTCCTTGCAGCTGACTGAGAGTTCAAAGCGGTCTGAAATAATGGCGAAGTTTCTTGTTTTCAAGCTCCGGGATTCAGGCTTCCCAGTCACCAATGAATTTGATTTTTTTAAACAGATGATGAACTGGTTTGTTATACAATATGCCTGTATTTTATATGGTTTGTCTTGCCATGTATTTGTATTTTATACGGTTTACTTTGATATCGTCATCTATAACAAATTTTCCCTGAATTCCTTAATAGCCAACACTAATGGATATCTTCTTCTTTTCTTCCATATTTGGACATGAAATTAACGGTTTATTAGCAAAAGTTTTTTGGATGAGCGGCAAGGGAATTTGTCAGGTTGTTGATTGGTTCCTTCCCCTTACAATTAACTCAAAGTATTTCATGAGTGTGCCAAAGAAGAAACAGTTTGACACATCTTGTTTAAAGTTGTTAATGTATAGTATTTTTTTCTTCTCTTTCTTAACTGATTCAGGTGGTGGTTGTGGATCTACTTTTGAACAAAAGGATACTAACATCGCAGTGTACACAAATATTCAGAGTCCTCCAATATCGAAGGTAAGAAAGATCTTTTTCTCTCTATATATAAAAAAAAAATGAAAAAGAAAATCTTTTATAACTTGTTGGTGGGGTTTTCGGTCTCTGAAACTACTCACACATCTTCTAACAGGTAATTTGTTGATTTCATAATAATTAAGGAAATTAGTTCATGATTGTATGATTAATCTAAGGACTGAGAATGTTGGAAAAGGGACATGCAAAAAATGGAGTTGGATTCATTATGATTAGGAGAGTGATATTGTATGTCTACATGCAACTACTAAGTAGGTAGGAGAAAAATTTAGAAAATTGAAAACATGGGATATAAACTTTTAGACCGGAAAAGAGAAACTGAGAAATGGAGTAGGTAATCATCAATGAGAATATAAAAGTTGCTATAATTATTATTTAGAAAGAAGATTGGATAATACAACTTAGCACTTATGCACACCCCAAGTCGGACTAGATGAACACATTTTTTTTTTTATTTTGGTAAGTGACTGCGTTGTGCGGCATGGATGTGGTTAGTTAGGGTAGTAGTTTTACATGTGTGTAAAAGGAGAAGTAAAGTTCTAATTTAAGAACTAAATGGTGGACTTTGAGAGAGGATAAAGTAGAATTTATTTATAAATAGATGATAAAGCAGCAATATGAAATTTAGAAGATGAAACTAACATGGAATAGGGTGATTGAACGTACTAAATGAGTATCAGAAGATGCCCTTGTAGAATCAAAGGGAAAAGGACCATTATTCAAAGAAAACCAGTGTTGGAATGAAGAAGTTCTATTTCTCATAAAAACAAAAACATAATGTTGTAAACTTTGACAGAAGTTAGAAAATTGAGAAGGAAAAAAAGGGACATTATCCTGTTGTGGTCCTGTCAATGGAAGCTCCTGTGGGAGGAGGCCTCGGTACAATCCTTATCACCATTGGCAAGTATTGTACTAATCGTTAGTCGCAATTCTGATTCTAAATCTAAAAAGGGTTAGCCTAGTGCTGAGACTCCTACCATCGCAAAGTCTGGAGAGGATTAGATGTACGTAGTCTTACCTTCACATGTGGAGAGGCTATTTCAGTGTCGAACACGTGACTTCCAGATTACAATGAAACAACCATACAATTCCACCAAGGCCCGCCCTCTCATTCTATGTCTTTTCACATTTTATATATGAATATGTGATTCTCTTAATAAGGACTATTTCCATTTATGCTTTGTCCGTTTTTAGAGTACTAATCTCTAGTTATCCTTATTCTATAAATTTATGTAGTTATTATCCTTTATTATTTATTAAGTTTATTTGACACTCATTCATTGATGCTTTATTACAAATAAATTTACATTTCAATCACACCGAGCAAATTTGGTCAATTATAATCAACCATTCACAAGTATAATAATAAAGCTTATTATTGATTCCAATATCTATATCTACAAATATCTGGGTTCAATTTTAAAAGGATCTAATAAATTCATTGAGTTGTTCAACACATTGAATCACCGAGTCTGGACATAACTTATATACATATATATATATCTGTTCATACCATCTTACAAGTGTAACTCCATGAGATAAAGTCATAAGCATGCCAGGACTGTAGTATACTCAATTAAAAATCTTTCTTGGTCCTTGCCTATCTACCATCTATAGACTATAGTCACTATACATATGGGTATAGATGTATAATCTTTAAGCATATTTCACATTCATTATCATGTTTAACATGTCTGTATCCGTCTCACTATCACATATAATATATAGCATGCATTAAGGAGTTGCAATCGATGTCCCCTCCCTCTTTGAAGTGTACATGTGTTGCTGTGTGTGTATTTCCCAAACCTAGTTAATGATTTCATACTTTTCACATGAAGGAAAAATGAAAATGAATCGAAGCCACTGTAATTAGAATTCTTAAACAACTTAGCATAAGCTTTATTATCCATGTATCCCAATTACATGAGGGAGACAGATTCAAGACTGTCACTTGCCTTTCTCAACTTCTAATAGGCTTGTCCAGTCCTCTTTATCATTAGTTGTTCCTCCAGCCTCTCCTCAGATCATGTCTCTTTAGAGATTGGCTTCTTGTTTCTTGCCTTTTTGAGGATCGGTTATTTTCTTTTCTTTTCTTGTTCTTGTTCTTCTTCCTCTTCTTCTCTCTCTCTCTCTCTCTGTATATATTTCTCTCTCTCTCTCTCTCTCTCTCTCTCTCTCTATATATATATATATATATATATATGCAGTCTTAGGGATAGGAGCTATCTTCTCTTTTGATATAGATTAGTTTATTCTATATATAAAAATTAACCCTTTTCTTCTTAATATGTGCTTATAGAACATAGAAAATGAAATGTATGTTTGAGTACAATATGATGTTCCTTCTCCGTGCCCAATTATATAGGAATTACTACATTTAGAATTCACTGATGGGAGCTTTCGTGCTAGAATTCCATCAGAACATAATTTCGTCATGCATCTTTTACATGCATTGGAAAGTCCAGTATTATGTTAGCATTATTTTGTATGCATCTGTATCCAATTTCTGCCTGCCCTCTTGTGTAATCTTAATTATGATAGTAATTGCTGTTTACCATCCCATTTTCGCAGAAGCAAACAAATGGAATGCCACTTGGGCAGCAAAGGAGGCCAATCTCGACACACTCTTTGCAGGAGAAACCAGGTTTACTTTCTATGGCGCAGTCAAATTATATGTCACAGAAGTTTACAACAAAGTTCAGTCCAAAGTTTTGCACAGCTACTGAAGCTCAGATCAGGCGACCTGTGCCAGGTCTTGCGTTATGCAAAAAATTGTCCTCGTTTCTGTCAGTCATCAAGGGGGGTATTTGATATCCCTAAATGGCATATTTTCAGATATGGATGATGATATTATCCTCCCTTTTCTAGATTTTTCCTTGCAAAACTTATAGATCCAAATGATTCCTAGTGGCATCTTTTTGTTGTGGATTTGGTTATTCTATGATTGGAAGTTTTACATTTTCACTTATTCTGTATGATGAGTTTTATACAGGCATGCAAAGTACGGTAGCATTTTCTTATTCACTAGCTTCTTTGAATTGAAAATAATTTTGGTAATGGTTTTTTCATCTGATTGTAGGAGTATGAAAACTGTAGTATACATTTAGATGCAAACATTGATGTTTTGTGGGACTTCTTTAAATCTATCCAATCTCCTCTCTTTCCACTTCAAATCTAGAACTAATAGAAGGAAAATTGTGAGCCTTAATTCCATGTCGCGCAGGGGTGCCTATTGAAGGTAACATACTCATAAAACAGGAAGTCCTGTCCTAGTTTCAAAACCTCCTCTTAGGCAAGCACATCTACTACTTTATAACCATGTATTACAAAGTTTGTTCCTCCACAATTCCTTTATTCTCTTTCCTCTATCTGTGGAATAAAAAGCTCCTTGAACAGTGACAGGTCCCTGGCCTTGATGGGTAAAGTGCCCATTTTTTCACACATGCCCAATAATGGGCTGAATATATTAGGGCAGGGAAGGAGCCAATGAAGGCCTGGGGGCACGTGCCTCCCTGAGTTGGCCCGCAACCTATAATGTATGTGGTAATTTTTTTAAGTGAACCCATCTTACATTGCTCTGGTCTTAAACCCTTTTTCCTGAAAATGCTTTTCTGTCTCATTTCATGATGCAATGGTCAGACTTGGTAGAAGGAAGACATCGTTCTATACACCCATGAGCTTACCATTGCTCTCTGCGCCCCCTCTGCCCTGGAGTCTCACCTCTTTTTCTTGTGTGATTTGGCCTCCCCAATCTGGAGTTTCATTCAATCTAAATGTGGTTTCTTTATCTCCCCCATAGATTTGTCAAGCGTATAGCTTGGGCTTCGCACCACTGGAAACACACAAGGCTTAACAATTCCATCTTCAGAATAGCTCTTCATTCTTGCATCCACCACATTTGGACTGAACACAAAATTTCTTCTTAAACAATGCTATACAAATTGAAAAATATTGTATAACCATTTAAAGAAACACACAAGGCTTAACAATTGCATCTTCAGAATAGCTTTTCATTCTTGCATCCACCACATTTGGACGGAACGGAAAATTTCTTCTCAAACAATGTAATACAAATTGAAAACTGTTGTATAGCCATTTAAAAACCTATTAAATTGTACCAACAGGCCTGTGGCCGGTTGGAACCTCGGTGGAGGCGTGTGGGTGTGTGAGTACCAATTAAGGAGGAGGAGGAGGAGGAAAAAAAAAAAAAAAAAACTGATAGGAACAACTCTCCCTTCACATCAGCATGCTCTTATTAGTTGGCCATACGTAGAATTAGATAATAGCATGTTCAAATCAACCATGTGCAAACACGCAAACAAACTATAACAAGACAGAGGCAATGATAGTCAGAAACCCTGATTTTTCATTAAAAAATGAATGCAAATATTCAACTCACAGAACTAAATATTTGTTGATCAAACTAAAATCCATTAGTACAACCTACAATAGGAGAAAAATAGAGTCTCCAATCTTCTTTAGAGGCTTCAAATACATAGTAATCATGATCTTCAATCACACATACTACAAGAGGCTACAAAGCATCCTTCCTGTGATGCCGCTCAACTTATATCTTACAAGAACCCATTAATACTTCAGAATCATCACGCTTTACCTAATGACAGCTGAATCCCATTCTTCATATTTACTTCGGAGAGATCAACAGGTAATGGCGACCATGCAACAGAATCTTTAACCCCAATCATTCTCCTTCGCATGATCACAGATGCAGCTAGCACCAAATACATGCCAGCAATCAAAGGCACTAAAACCCCAATATTTCTTCTAGGCCTACTCTTCAGTATTAACTCTGCTGACACCTCTCCATCAAGACTGCCCTTCAAATTATTCATCTTCATGATCTCAACCCCATTGAGAATAGCATCAACACCATGTGGCATGCTCATACTAGAAGGTCCCACACTTACTCTGATAAAATCCCAGAGCTTTCACCATCAACCACAAAATCAGCATAGAAAGGGGAAGCCAGCATTTGGTTCGTTTGATAGGTGAGATCCAAATTTTCAACAACCAATTTCCCATTCACATAAACATTAAAATACAGCAGACCAAGTGAAATGCTAGCAATATCACAGAAATGTAATCGAACAAGATACTTATAACCCTCAATCACAGGAAACGACCATGTAACATTCAAGTCCGGAAGCGAATCATTCAAACTCCGAATCAATCGGGCACTATTGTAAACATTATCCGGACCAACTTCACGACTTGCCCCTCCCATTTGGTACTTTATCCGACCACTAAAGTAAACTTTGTTTGACCCATCACTAAATTTCAAGAACTCATCATCAGGAACCCAAGTCCTCCACAAGGAATCATTAAATGGGGTCACTTTGGGACCTCCCACATTAACCCTATGTACAGTTTCAAATGAATTCTTCATCAGCCCATTAATTTTCTCAATTTTCTCAGAACCCACAAACTGTGCAACATCGGCAATCAAATCTTTTGGCGTAGAAATCACTTCAATCGCATTGACAAACGCAATTTTCGATCTTTTTGATGGCAAAAACTTAATTTCCAGCTTTTCACTTGTTGGTAAAAAATATGCTTTAAATGATATTTAAGATATAACTAATCCTATACTAATATGCCATAAGATATTTCTAATATACTAAAAATAATTAATTAAATATTCAACTAGATATTTAATTAAACATGCAAATTAAAACAATAAAATAATAATAATAAATAAAGAACCTGTACCGAGACTAGTATTGGATACTATGTCCTTAAGACAGATTCGTCCCGCTATAGTACTAACGGACTCAGTGGCGTCTATCTCCTCCATGTAATACTCTCTGAGACTCAAAAATGCATCTATACTATATAAATGCTGAATTGTGTATAATCCGAACCAAATGGTTCGGACCAATTTTAATATGGCTCGATGAAATTAGATTAAGGTCTAAGTGGCTTGGACCACTTAACATATGGTTTGAACCCACTTGGGTTGGGTTCAAGTCTAGAGAGGAAAATAGAAGAAAATGAAATGAACGATTTACAAATGGCAGCCCAAGGGGATATTTATAGAAATCGAAATGCCTTTTCGGATTGGGTGTGTCTCTTCATCATTGGACACAACCATTCATCACTGAACACAACCATTTATACGTTTCTCTTCACACTGGACATAATAATTTATATGTGTCTATTCATCACTAGACACAACCATTCCAATTGGTTGCAATGGTTCATATGGTGTCTGTTCACCAATAGACACATCTACTCCAATAGGTTGCAACCCTTTAGAAACAGATACAATCCTTTGGAAAACAGATACAACCTTTTAGAAATAAATACAACCCTTTGGAAAAAAAAAAACTAACTTTTAATTTAAATTCAAAAACCAACTACCCATTTAAATAAGCCCAGCCCAAAATTAAAGACCCAATCCAAAATTCCATTTAGTAAAAAGAATAATCAACTTTACAATTAGGCCCAAGCCTAAACCCAAATCTGGCTTATTTAAATTTCAATTGGTTTCAACATTTTTTTCCATGTAGGACAAACACTTCCCACATTTTGCATACCCATTTAGGCTTATCAAAACACCACACTTTGGAGCTGATTTCTCATTCACCCGGAAATGGATTTGAGAAAGTAAATATACCACATTCATCTTCTTGCGGAGAGAAACGCGCTCGTCTAGAGATCCGCAAAAAATTCTTTACGGAATCTATTCCAAATCTCATCCAAAGTTTATGTTTTTAATGCCCTCGTTTCCAACAATCCCCCACATGAATGAAAGATGGCTGCTTAAATGCAAAAGATAATCATGCAGACACTAGAGAGAGTATAGTCGGAAAGTTACTACATCAGGATAGGTAGCTTTTGGCTTTGAACCTTCCCTAGTGTATTGCTATCGGATTTACTGGCTAACCAATGAACGCGATGTCTTGAACTGTTCAGCCGTTTGTGTAAACCAAGACAATAACAAACACACAGTACCTTTCCTTATAAAGTTGGTTCTCATTGTTGTGTTCATTTTGGCCTGAACAACTCCTGGTATTCATGAGTGCTCTAGAAAACTTAGCCTTTATAGTTCTCATAAAGCGGTCCCACTTCACACTCATATAGGTGACTTCTTATTAAGAGTATCTTACCATACCCCACTTGAATTTTCAAGGTATAAGAGTCATTAAAAGCGTAGCTTATCCTAATAATCGTTGTAGGTAGCACTATTTCATCGTAAAAATGGGTAGAAGATTTATATCTTCCCAGTGCTTCTGGTGAGTCACTCAGGATTTCTGTTGTCCTTTTGAACCTAGATCTTGGGATCTCCAGTCAGCTAGGTTGGATTTCCATTAAGGTGACTCGATAGCTTTCGGCTTTAAACCCCATTCCCCTTGATGATCTGTACAATTACTCTCTAATACAACCCTCAATTTTATATGTGGCCACAAGGTTGTGTTTAGAAATATTACACTTTGCAGAGATTTCTCCAGTTGAGAGCAATTGTATACTTTGTGCCCTAAAATTGTTTATTGTTACCAATATCCTTTTTGTTTTTTTTTTTAATGGGACAAGTGTTGACTTATTTTGAAATGTCCTCTGAGTTAAGTCTATCGACTTTCCTGTTTGATTTATTCAAAGTTTATAATTTTTGTTTGATTTATTTAAAGTTTCTAACTTTGATTCTTTAAAAGAACATACGACTACACCTTTAATATTAAAGACATATCCATTCTTGGATTTGAAGTCTTTAATATCCCACATCCAGATTGCATCACTGTTACACCTCCAATGTAGTTAGATACCTCGATCTATGCAATATTGGACTTAGTGATCCTATCCTGGATTGAAAGTGTGCAATTAAACACAGTTATTAAGATGTTTTATAGTCTCAACCAGTGATATACTTTGACTAGTATTTATATTTGAGATTTACATCTACAAAAGTTAGCTACGCTTTTGTTGTCATCACTAGTATTATCCTAATCTCAC